ATATGAGGAATTCTTAATCTCAGGAAACAAACTGAGGGTTGCTGGAGTGGTGGGGGGTGGGAGGGATGGGGTGGCTGGGTGATAGACATTGGGGAGGGTATGTGCTATGGTGAGCACTGAATTGTACAAGACTGATGAATCACGGATCTGTACTTCTGAAACACACACTGCAATATATGTTAAGAAAAAAAAAGAAGAAGATAGCAGGAGGGGAAGAATGAAGTGGAGTAAGTCGGAGGGGGAGAGGAACCATTAGAGATGATGGACTCTGAAAAACAAACTGAGGGTTCTAGAGGGGAGGAGGGTGGGGGGATGGGTTAGCCTGGTGATGGGTATTAAAGAGGGCACATTCTGCGTGGAGAACTGGGTGTGATACACAAACAATGAATCATGGAACACATCAAAAACTAATGATGTAATGTATGGTGATTAACATAACAATAAAAAATTATTAAAAATAAAAGAATTTGCCATGGGTTTCATGTTTACAGCTCCATCCAGGGAGCAGCCCAAACAATCTGGGAGAGAGAATCTGATCTGCCCAATTTAGGTGAGGTGTTCACTTGTCTACTCTCCCCTGGCTGAAGGGTTAGATCACACAGTGTGAATGAGGCTGCTGGGGTCCCACTCTGGTACGGGGGAGTTAATGGGGCTGATCAGACACCCGAGAGGTATCTTGCGGACTTCTGAGATCACAAACTTTTCTCTTGTTTTTGTTATTCCAGGTCTCCTGGCAACTAAGATAACAGGAGAAGCTTCAGGATATTTTTTCCCCAATGCTTGGAAGCTTTTAGCAATTCAGCTTTGACAGCCCTCTGTGGGAGGTGTTGATCATCCTCCATTAATGTTTCTTGGTTCACAGTGAGCTCTCAGTCTTCATTCAGATCTTCTTTTGTTGATGACTTGTGACTGGCTAGTCTTCGGGTGGAAGAGCTGGTGGCGTTATGGGAAGTGAGGTTATGGTCCCCTCTGATTTCCATATGCTCTGTTTGGGGTAAACAGGCACTTCTGGCCATGGGCTGAATGAGGGTAAATCTCTGTGGCTCTTGGAACTTTTTCTTTGGGGTCTTTGTATATAGCTCACTCAACAGCTGCAAGGCTGGCTCCCTGGTTAGAGCTCTCCATCTGGTTCATTTCTTGTTATAGTTCTTGATTTTCTTTGTTTTTCCACAGCCACTCCAACATGGAAGTTGGCTGGTGATAAAAACAATATGGCTGCATGATTTCTCCTTTAATCTAGCTACCACTGCCATGCCTCCCGAAGTAATAGGCCTCCAGCAGGTACTCCTTCCATCTCCCTTAACCGATCCTACCCTAGTCCTCATCCCCTGAAGCTGAGATTTCTAAGTAGCACCGTCAGAGAGCTCATTGTGTACGCTCCCTGTATCCTTTACTGTAAGGGAGGTGGCACACCTCCTCCTACAGTCCAGTCTAAATTGTAATGTGCTCAGCTGTCCTCAGTGTTTGTAGTGTGAAATCTGGCTAATTCTCTAGTTTCCGGCCTCGTCCTCAGGTTAGCACTCAGTATGTCAAGTCTGGCCCTATTAAGACCTCAGAGGTTGGACCAAAGACTCCACACTACCATTTTTACCAGTCCAGCCCCTGGACTGGGTTCCAGCAATAGTGCGGGCTTAAGAGATGCAAACAGCTGTCTCCTGTATGACGTGCCCTGCAGGCCAAGAAGTCTGGCTTTCCCATCACAGTTGCACGTGGAACCCCCAAACATTTGCGTGGCTCCTGGCCCTGCTGCGGCCCCATCTGCAGCTAGCTGCTATCGTCTGTGCAGGCAGGGTTGCAGCCAGACGGTCGGTCGATGCCGCTGCTAGACAGCTGCAACACTGACACCTGCTGCGAGAGGGCGCGGCTTTGCAAGCCGGCCGCGGGAGCGTCCGGAACCAGCGCACCACCGAGAGGGAAACCTCCAGGCTTCCTAGAAGGGAAGGCGGGCTCCCGCGGTGCTTCCGGCTCGTCGCTGGTTGGTGGAGCCGGGCGCTCCCGTGGGAGGGGAACTCGGTTGCGGGTGCTCTGGGTACCGTAGAGCGGCTGCTGTGAAGCGGGGCCGCTCGGCCTCTGCAAGGTCTGGCAGCCTTGACTTGGAAGTGCCTGGCCGAGGAGGGCCGATACCTGCGCCTGTGCCCCGACCGCGGAGAGGGTTCCTTGGTTCTCGTGCGCACCTGCCTCCGGCCCGCCTTCCTATTGCAGCTGGAGGTGTTGGCTGGCGTCGCCGGCTTCCTGGAGGTCCGAGCGGGTCTGTGCCCACTGCCACCCAGCGGCGCACTTGAGCATCTTTTTCCAGCTTTGATCCGCGGCCGAGCCGCCACCTGCATCTTGTCCCGTAGCCCTTCTCGGTCCAGGCGTCCTCTGCCCTCGTTCTCTCCGGAGGCGGCCTCTCTTAGTCATGGTGTCAAAGATGAACAAAGCCGGCAGGTTTTAATCAGTAATAATTATTGCAGGAGGGAAAAGAGTCCAGGGTGAACTGGACGCAGTTTTGACTGGTACAGAAGGGACTGGACCTTTTAAAGGGAGAATGGAGGAGGAGGGAGCGGGGTGAGTGGGGGCTCCGTAGAGTTCGTGAAACCCATATGAGTTTGCTGACCGAGCTTAGGGAAGTTTGACTCCTGCCCTCCTCCAGAGACTGGGAGACAGGGGCTCTGTCTTCAGGT